TCTGGAACTACTAATCAGACTTAAATTATTATTGTGTATTTAATAGCCTATTTTTATATTTTTATTATTACTTTGGATAGGTATATACATACAAATATATACTTGTATATACAAGTATGTATTTGTATTGAGCCTTTTTTTTTTTTTTTTAACGTTGGGAAATGCATTTACGCACGAGGTGTGGGACTCACCGGCAAAGCCAGTACTACCCACTAAAACCCAACAAAACCTTCCCCCGTCTTAATGGGGCGTCGCAGGATCGCTTACGCATTCAACTACGACGCCCCGACGGCAGGTCTGCCGAAGCAGACCACAACAACCACGGGGTTGCTCCACAGTCCACTCTGCTATCAGAGAAGTACCAGGAGTAACCCGCATGGTACACCACCCCCCGAAGAGGGCCACCTTCCACCGCCCACCGAAGTGGGCCACCTCCCTGTGCGTTTCTTGGCTTCGCGCCCGGTTGGGTTGCCGGGCACTACTGAGCCCCCCCACCACGACAAGGTGAACGCACGTTGGGGTGTATTGAGCCTTACGAGACGAGGTTTATGTTTTAATTAAAATAAATAATGTAAGTGAGCAAAGCCACGGGCAAAAGCTTAATATATATAGATAATAAAAATGTTTAAGTAATAAAAATATTATGTATCCAAATTTTTAAATAACTGTTAATATCCTAAGATACTATTTTAAAACTAGTTATTTTGATTGATTTGACTAAAAAAAGCTTATAGGTACTTTAGCTATTTTATTAAGAACTAGCAGCTCACCGTCACGTCACATCTAGAACTCGGGTTCGCCTCTAGAAATACGCAAACAAATCTATCCCACGGGAACCGTACATTTTTCCGGGATAAAAAGTAGCCTATGTATTATTCTGAAGTTTAAGCTATATTATTGTAAAGTTCCATTAAAATGCATTTAGTACTTTTTGATAACACAAACTTTTACATTTATAATATTAGAAGGGTAGTAGTTTTAGAAGAATATTATTTTACAACTAGCGTTGCCCGCGGTTCCGCCCGCGTTCAGATGAACAAAAACCAAATTATTGCGTTTTACATATTATAGTATACTCTTACATTGCAGTTTTTGTATTTTTTTCTCAGAAATGAGACATTTTCCCGTCGTAAAAAGTATCCTATATGTTGACCCGGATAACCAGCTATCACCATACCAAATTTCATCAAAATCCCTCCAGTGGCTTTTCTGTGATGCGGTAACAGACAGGCAGACAGACAGACAGATAGATTCGGCCTCCGTATCGATAATAATGTCTATTTCAATAAGATTTTCCAAAAAATATTTAATGTACAGATTCGACTTAGTTAGAATTTTATTATATGTATAGATAACGACAGCGGGTACTAAATATTATAATTGCGCTTAGTTCCACATATGTGTCGACAGTTGAAATACTCCCAAGAGAGCTATTCATTATGTAACTCTACATATAAACATAGCGGAACTAATAATTTAAATTAGTAGCGAAAATTAACAGTTTCTAGTAATTAATACGTAGTAACATAATTAATATTGTTTCTAAACAGGCACGAGGCAGAAATTGAGTTTAATTTCATGTTATCACGTGACATCCTTTTCGTAACCATTCTGAGTCTTCAAATTCAACTATAAAATTTTTTGATCATAATATACCTATGTATTTTGTAAACTTTTCAAGAAAATATGTATATTTTCGCCATGAAGTTGTTTGGTCCATAATACTGGGTTATATTCTGTCGGAGCTCCGTTGACATTTTTCATCTCTTCTTCAAATTCCCATAGCTTATGGAAATCCATAAGTTATGATAATCTTATTTTTATAGGGAATATTATTATATATTTATCGGGAACTTCAACTTCCAGTGATAATACAGGAAATAAAATAATAAATAGAAATAATAAAGCTATCGAAATAGTACGAGTAGGTACTTCATTTTTAAGAAATCGATTTAAAAATAATGTTTATATAAATCAAGTGACTTGTAGTAACATGTATTACTTAAATATATGTATGAAAAAGCTATTTTATCTTTCTTATATTATAAACTAGCGACTTACCCTCACTTCATTTCAGATTTGTCCCTAGACAAAAACAAATCCATCCCACGGGAATCGTAAATTTTTCCGGGATAAAAAGTGACTTATGTGCTATTCCAAACTATAATCTATCACAGTGCCAAATTTCATCCAGATCCGTTCAGCTGTTCTGACGTGAAAGAGTAACAAACATCCATCCTTCCTCAAAAACTTTTTCATTTATATTAGTATGGATGTTACAATTGTTTAAATAAATTTTTACATTTTCTTATGTATATACTTTTCAAGTATTAAATTTTATTTAGATTATTAATAGCTTTTGCAATTACAGTTCATAAATGTACATTTTTACACGAATCCAATGAGCCGTCGCAAACATTTTAATTTACGGTCAAAATATAGCACAACTTTTAATTTTCGAACTATCAGTAGTTCTACTATCAGACATATCAATATTTCAGAACCTAAGGCCACGAATTTAATAACATCATGGATATCTGAAGTGGTTTCAAAGAAACCTAAATAAGAAAATTCAATCTCTTGGACTATGATTAGGAAATTGATGCTTTTATCAATACGCCGACGACCTCAAAAGATATTTTTTACGCCTGAGATATTTATTTTAACGAGTTCAGACTTCAGACACACAGGGAAAGGTTATTTCTATAACATATAATACTATAACATATTACATTTATTGGACTGTAAAATTTAAAAGCTGACTGTTTAAATTTAAAGGCTAAGTACCTATAGGTTATCTATACTCGTACTAATATAATAAAGAGGTAAACTTTGTTTATGTGTAAGGGGTAATTTCTGGAACTACTGAACCGATTCCAAAAATTATTTCATTAATAGAAAGCGGTGAATGCACGTGTTTTATTTTGATTTAAAAAACTTTCCAGCTTTAAATCTTAATATTCTGTCACAGTAAAATGCGCTAAATAGCCGCTTTACCGACCTGCGACGCGATGGTCAAATCGTATATTGAAATATGTAATGCTTATAATTAGGGAGGAACGAAGGGAAGCAACGATAAGTCGCTAGTCTATACTAATATTATAAAGAGGTGATGTTTGTGAGTTTGTGACGTTGTAGGGGGTAATATCTGGTTCTACTAAACCGATTTAGATAAAATTTGGTAAGAAGATAGTTTGAGACCCTGGGAAGGACATAGAATTTGTTTTATTTCGGAAAGCATCCCTTAAGGGGGTGAAAATGGGGATAAAAGTTTGTATGGGGAATCAACCTAGGGACGAAGCCGTGCGAAGCAAGGGTGAGTCCCTAGTCTATATATAAATCGACAAAGAAAAACAGTTGTGTACTGTTTCCCCTCTCTTTGTCAACCGATTTTACATTTTTGTTTAGTAGCAACTGATGAGGTTCTGTTTGAAACAGTATTTTTTTTATATATAAATAGGCAAATGTTTATATAACTGATTTCGATAAAATTTATATGGGACCACCTGGGAAGTATATCCTTTGAAACAAGAATTTTTTATTCAAATCAATTCTGGCGTCTCCGAGTAATCGGTGAACATACATAAAAAAAGAAAAAAAGAATTCCGACGAATAGATAACTTCCTCCTTTTTGGAAGTCGGCTAAAAATAGACGTAACATATATACATTCAATTGGATAATTTCCTACCTTGTCAAGGATGGACGGGATGGAATAGCATATGAGTTACTTTTTGTCTCGGAAAAATGTACGGTTCCCGCGGGATTGATTTGTTTTTGGCTCTAAAGTATAATGTTTTCGAATAGGTAATAAAATAATGAGATTTTTTTTTAATTACTACCGCCTTAACCTGGTTTCCGTCTGATGATTCCTAGAAGTCTAACACTATGTTACTCCAGCTTATATATATTGGCTACAGGTATGTCTATCTGTGCGCTAAAATTCATCCAAATCCGTCCAGTCATTTTAGTGTGAAGGAGTAACACATACACACATACATACACACCAACTTTCGCATTCGGTATTAAAATAGTCCGATATTAGGCAACTTAAATGTATGAATTTAAATAAAACATATGCAAAAGAACTATCAGTATCTGATGTGGGATGTTTTTTAAATTCCTACAACGGACAGTGCGATTTGATCGACTGAGTGATTTTTGATTTCGAACACGACAGACGGTTGAGTACTCAATCATACACCGAGCCCAACTGAATTAAACGTACGGATTGACAGGCTACCGCTTTTTTCGTTACTGACAGAACGTTATATAGAAGAGAGAATTTACTAATATTTCGATGGGTATGTTTTATCTTTTTGTTTATCAGTTTATATGTAAAACAAAAAAAAAATATTTATTACACTTGAGTAAAAATTATCTCATTAGTATTATATGTAAATGCCAAAGTTTGGATGGATGTTTGTTACTCAATCACGCCAAAACGGCTGAACGGATCTGGATGAAATTTAGCACTGATTAGATATAGATTATATTCTGAACAAGAACATGAGTTACTTTTTGTCCCGGAAAAATGTACGGATCCCGTTTCATTGATTTGTTTTTGTTTTTCACTCCTACACTACTAGCTAGTATAAAATATTTTGAACCTTAAAATCCCCCTTATCAACTTAATATTTGATTTTAATAATATAATCAATATATAAACTTTCTGTATATAAAAAGGAATGAAGTGATTTTTTTTATACAGAATACACCAAATGATTTTAAGCGAGGGAGAAGATAAAAGTTTAATAAAAACTTCGTTATTATGCCATAGCTAATGCTTTTATAGTTACGTAAATTGACGCGTTCATAACTTCTTTTTAAGAATAAAAATTATAGTGAATGTTGCCTCTAAAATTTTAATACTAAAAAGGAAATTTTCCGTGGTAGAATAGGTATATTATCTTGTGTGAAAAATTTGTTGTACTACATAATTTCATTACATTATTGGAGTGAGATTTGTAAATACTTAGTTGATAAATGGGGAAGCTAAAAAATGGCTTGGGTACAAAGAAAGATGGTAGGACGAAAGAATAGTCAAGAAGATATATTTATGGACATATGTTGTGGAAGAGTGGAGTGTCAAGGAGAAGGTCATTTAAACAGTCTGAGGTCCTCCCGACAATGTAAGAAGAGGTATGTGGAAATCGCACTTGACACTCAGCTATCTTTGCTTACCCTGCAAAGGATAAATCGTGAGGATAGCCTCACGCTATAGTGTTTACATATTTCACAGCAACGGATAGATTAAAATAATGTTACCTCTTAATTATCACACTCAACACATTTAATGAAATAGTAAATAAAAGGGCATGACGTCGCTGGTAACCATTCTTAAAATTCAAATTTAATATAATTAATTTTGTCTACACTTACTTTTGTCAAAATGGGGTTCTTTGTTCTAATATTACATTAAATTTATTGCAACTACAATATAATATAATTTTAACCTGGCAACATTAGAGAGCGTGTTGACAATTGCGTCGGCAATTGCTCGCCATCTTGATTTCCCGCCGAAACCGCACGCCTGCTGTTGACTGCAAACGTTCGCATTATATTACATGGTATAATCATGAAAATGAATGGCGTAACTAATGGATTAATAATTGTAATTTTTTTTTTCTAATGCACAAAATTTATGAGATAATACTGCAAAATCTGATATTAAAATACTTGAAACTCAATAATTGTTGAATTAAAAATTCGAATCTTAGATTATTTTATTAATGTTATATATTTATGTTTCTCTCAGACATGCAGGTTTCTTCACGATGTTTTTCCTTTACCGTAAGGCAAGTGGTAATCATGTTAGAAATGATTCGCACATGAAAATACCGCAATAAGGCACTATGGCAGATACTGCAATTAAATTAAAACGTATCAAAATATAAATTTAATAATTTGTATAAGATTATTAGCAATAAATATTCATTGCTATAAGTAATAATTATTATGAAATTATTAATAATAAATATATGTACATATATTTTTATAAATAATAATTATTATAAAACTTTTTTTTAAATTTAGTAATAACTTTAATTCTCACTTCCGTGACAGTTACTTAGCGACACTCATTTTTCTAATGTATTGGACTTACCCCCCGTCACACAAGAAGTTTAACTTTAAAAATCGTATTTAGTGAGAAAATTTAAAAGACGTTAAAAATATTTTATTAAATTATCTAAAATATATTTTTATGTGAACCTTTTTCTGCAAAAACTTTTTATGAAAATACGCACTAGAAAAGCGCAAAAACAGTGAACTAACGTATTTAATCTGTCCAGTCGAGCCATTCATTATCTGTCAGCTGGCGGGCATCGGGGGAACGAAAGATTAATCAATATTGTTTTATACTGAACAATCGATCGATCGTTATTTATTAACTGAACGCTTTATCTTTCTAGTGTGGGCCTTATATGAAATGTTTTGAAAAACTTCCTAGTTATACACCTCAATAAGATATAGTTTGAAAACTTGAGGTTTATTTAAATAATACGAGTTGGTGGTACATTTTTCTATACATATAATAAAATTCTAACTGAGTCGAATCTGTACATTAAATATTTTTTGAAAAATCTTATTGAAATTGTCATTATTATCGATACAGAGGCCGAATCCATAGTTTTTAGAATTTTTGTTTTTCTGTCTGTCTGACTTTCTGTCTGTTTGTCTGTCTGCCTGTTCATCTGACTGCCTATCTGTCTTCTGTGACCACATCATGGAAAAACCACTGAGGGATTTTGGTGAAATTTGATATGATGGTAACAGGCTATCCTGGTCAAAATATAAGATACTTTGTACTGATCATCTCTGAGTTTATACTAAACGTTAAAACGTAAGTATGAAGATGGGAAGAACCCAAGTGGATCGAGGGTGAGTAGCTAGTTTATTTATAAAACTTTTATATTGATCTTGTTTAGTATTGTTTTAAATACAATAGGTTAGTATATTTTATCTGTGGTTTCAGGTCATTTATAAATAATCTGTCATGTGGTGTCCACCACAGCGGTCAGGTATGGCGGGAATGATTAATTATGTTTGTTTTATTATAATACGAATTTATTGTTGCAATTATACATAATAGACCCATAATATAGAAGACACGAAGGCTGAGTAAGAATAATGTTAGAAAATTAGGATATATTTAATATAGATACGAATATTATAATGAGAAGAGCCGGCGAGAAACTCAACAGTTGCCTTTTTAAATAATGAGTTACATAATTTAGAATAATTATTTACAGTATTACAAACAATTCATGATTAGTCACCGACATTTCTGCCAAAAGCGCGGGAAAACAAATGAATATCCGCGTCCTTTTAATTTTTTTAAAAACATTCCTATCGGCCAAGGTCACATAAATAAATGCATTACACATAATATATTATTACAAATTAATTAATAAAATATGATTTCACTAATAAAAATAATATAAAAATGCAACTTTACAATAAGAAGAAATATCTGGGTAAAGGGAATCGGATTCATAGAATAGCTGTCATTAATAATTCAGAACTACTGCACAGGGCGTTGTACTGGATGTAGGGCAACCACGGCTTAAGATCAAATAGAAAATTAAATAACTTTACTCTATATTCCTTATGGGATGGATAGAAATAGTGTGATTCTTCATTTTGTGCTCGAGTTTGAACTGGTTTAAGGATATAACATACTTTTCGTGGTGAAACGAGTTTGATTATTCTGACTATAAAAAAAGGACAATATTATGCAATAAGCAGCAATTAATAGCAAGTCTCTATATAAAGCGATCTGAAAATCAAAGTGTTAAAAAGTAGGACGTAAATACTAAATCCAAAGGATTGAAGAAATATATATTGACTAGTGACGTACCCTCCCAGGTTCCTAGGGCATTAGAAGCATAGATGATACATGTGTCACTCTCAACTCCTCAGACGTTTGAACTCGACAAATTATGGATTCTCCATACAAAATTTCATTCACATTTCACTTCTTTTAAGTTTTTTCTTGCGATAATATGTAACCTTTTACAATGTAATGCTTATTTTTTACTAAAATTCCTCAAAATAGTTTCAGCTTGCAAAGAAAGCAGAGATATGAAAACGTAATAAACAAATCAATAGACAGACAAACATTACTATCCTTTTTCATTAGTAATATTAATACGATTTTTTCACATAAACAGGCATAAAGCAATAATTTATTATTTGCCTTCTCCAGGTTAAAGTACGACTACGCCAATGTATTGAACCCGTTATACCCTTAAGTAACTAAATACTGCTATTAAGGAGTATATATACTGTGCAGCTACTATATATACATAATTTATACATAATATGTGCTATATATTCACATTTCACATATTAATAAAATAACAAAAAAGACGTGCTTCTTGTAATTAAATCAAATTTTAAATGTTGTTACACAAAATTATATGAAAATATAATTAATTATACGTGATAATTACGTAATGAAAATTTACCTAAATTTCCTTCCGGTGTTTACAACAGCCCGAATCCTTTAAAATGATTAAAGAAAAATATCCTTGGTATATTAAATGTATGGAATCCTTCACCTGGGCGAGGTAAGCGATCCCGATACCTGTTTTCATATTCAAAGTCCTCTCCTTCTAACCAAAACATGTTCAGCAATTCTCTACAGAAAACAGCAACGTCGTGTTAGCTGTTGTAACATTGTAGTGTAGAAACTTCTTAATAGGTACTTAAAAATTCTTTTATTCAAACAGCTTATAGCTTAGTGGCTATTTATTTAAATAGCAGTACATTTTGTATTAGATATAACGGAAGTTAGATGACTCGGTTTCTATAGGAGTGACTATTTGTACTGAGGCAAAGCGTGGCTTTAAAAGGAACAAAGTTTTTATACTTCACTTAAAACTTTTAAGATTTTATCTATACAGATAAATAACCGGAACAAACAGGTAGACAGACAAAAATTGTATTTTTCTTATAAATACCGTATATAATTTCATATGCATTAAGTAAAACGCTGTTATTTTTACATTACAAATAGACACTTCAATTTTATTTATTTGTACAGATATTTAATAGGAAAAAAATTAACATTAAAAACTTATTTCTAATCATTATTATCTGCTATACAATCAAAACCATTGTAATATGTATAAAACATGAGTTAAATATAGGAGTAGTACCTACTGTACTGTCGTGGACGTATACGAAAGCAATCCTATGCCGTTAAGGCGATCAGAGTTTGAGTGGGTGTCTCGTTTCATCCAGTAGTAGGACGATTCCTACAAAACCACTTGCATAGTCAGACGACCCAGTGCCATACATAAACATATATTCCAAAGTCAGATCTCAAAGGCAATATGAAAAGATTAGTACTTCTAAAATATGCCCCTACTTATTTTATAATGTTAAATGAGCATTGAGCAAGTCTTGTATATATAGGGTTATTGGTAAGTATTCCCGTTAGAAGGTGATAGGGGTCACTTTTTGCGATAATTTTAACCCCACATGCCTAATGCAAAGGGAACCGTTTTTGAGTTATCATGTTTAGCTTTTTCAAAATAAGTCTAAAATGCAACATCAAAAATTTATAAAAAAAAAGGATCAATTTAAATCTCATTCTCTCTTCTGATTTATAAAAACGATTATTTACACTGGTTTCTTATCAATCTGTATTAAAACTACAATTATCGGTCCAAATTTTAAAAATGCGAGACAAAAAACGATATTATTTCAATATATTTTTTTGAGTTTTTTTTCCACTAAAATGCCTTATAAACAAAAAAACGTCATGAAACTTGGCTTGCACATTATTTTAAAAACATAAATGTTTTTCTTAGCTCTCCAACAATTACAACATTACAACTAGGAACTTATTTCAAAGAAACTAAAAAAATTATCACAAAGGAAGCAGGCGAAAATTAGAATTTATAGGATTTCTGATGATATTTATATTAATTATATTAGTATAAAAATATCTAAATAACATTAGAAATCCCAGTATACACGCTGATTTATCACTCTTACATGCAATAGTAGAGTAACAGCATTACGATTTTTACATAGAAATAGTCTATGGAGTATTGTATGGTGTAGGCTACTTTTAGATAGGGACATTAGTCTGTTGTAAAAGCTTTCCTATGGTTACTAGCAGGCTTATAAATAAATCCCTAGGTTGTCGTGGCTTTCGATGTTTGATCAAAGAAAATTGTTACTAGTGGGTCTTTGTAAGGTACGAGA